GTTTATGTAATTTCAATCGCACTATAAACACGCCTTCACAGCCATGGGTTATTATTCAGACACCGCGTTCTTTTTTATTTTCATATGGCAATGAAAGCTCTCATTAAGAACTGATTCAATATTTTAATCATTAATTTGCCTGTGTTTTATTTTGCTTTCCCCATATTTTTTTCCATACTTTGGTCAGATTACTGGCCTGGGATTTTCAATTCCAGACAAGTCTGCACACGCATTTACATGTAAATAGTCTGTAGGGTTTGCAAACCACCGCAAAGGTTTTGATGTAGCGATCGGCTCGAGTTTTCCATTTATAATGAAATAACACAAATTTGACGTAGATCCCTTGCGTTTCGACGGCTTTGTGGCAACGCGCGCCTGTATAATAATATAATAATCTCGTCGCTTTCTGTCGCCACAATTCTCGGCAGCACCACCACCACCTTCATTCTGTTGTTAAGTTTTATTTGGCAGGCGTTCATTTCGGGTAATTTAATGCTTATAGTTTTATACATTTCGCGATATTACTCGATGTGATATCGAGATATACTAATCTCGCAGCCCTAAATATAGATGCAGTGAATTCTACCATATAGCACAAAAAGTGGGTAAACAACATCCTCTCCAATCATTGGCTACCATGCTCGTGAACGGAGAAGTACATATAAAGTACTCTTATAACTACATTTTCAAAGCACCCGACACGATACATAGGTGTGTACAGCAAGATTAATATTTCCCCCTTACTCAGCAGGCGATTACCCTCCATTGGCTGCATTTTCCGCCATCGATAACACCTAAGCTTCTAACTAAAGCTCGACCGCTGCAGCTCGAAATGCACAACTTAGAAAGAACGTTCGCAGATGGTCGCTATCTTTGCTTTTGGGAAACACCTGCATCACCATAATTCGAACTATGCTTTCGGCAAACACTTGCATCGCAACTTAATAGATCTAACTATTTTTGGGAAACGCGCCCCCAGTTATATCAATAACTGGTTACTAGCTGTGTCCAGTTGGCACTTGAATGGTCGAGGAAACCACCGTTAATGCTAGAATGTGCGGTACTGATCGCCCCCTACTGGTGCAACCGACCTTCCAGTCACAGACCCCGAGCAAATACACCCGTATAGCACAATCCACAATCCTCACTTCTTAATACAACACTTGAATGCACCAGATGGAAGGGGAATGAATCACAAACTCACCGACTCAAATCAACGCATTTATAACTTTCAGGACCAGGGTGAGAAATGGCCCATTGAGAAATAATGAGCAAAGCTAATATAACTAACTGATTAAAACCACATCCAGAAATTAAATGTAACAAAGCACTGAACACAACAATTTTGACTATTTCCAATTTATTAATGAAGGTAAATACGGGTGCTTCGGGGGCCGACCTGGCCAACACTAAATAGAATAAGCTTTTAAACCTGACTATACAGAAAGTTTAAAATAAATACACAAAACATCCCTACCCCGGCATAAAGAAGGACAAGATAAATCAAACAAACGGCATACTTACGAATGACCAGGGAGAAGTTTACAGTTAGAAAAGTACGAAACAAAAGCAACGTGAATGGTTTCCCGCATCGGTGTTTAACAAGCCATTTGAAGGAAGTGGTAATCTCGGAATCAGCCAATCGAAAAGGAGATTTGTGGTGACGTAATGACAGGTGGTGGTGGGGGGTCGGGACCGCCAAGACACAACCATAGACACACCCAGCCGGGATGCGAAAGTAGATCTAGTGAAAAACAGGATACTCACCAACATGCGTCGCTCCATATTCACACATACACAAAAACAGAAGAAAAAAAAAACAGAGAAAAAAAACATGCGTCATAAATTATACATTAATTTTGTAACTAATACTGACTGTGAATGAAACTAGCCTACTGAGTAAAATAATTCTATTGAAACGGATTGGTGGTGCAGTAAATTGGCCTGGATTTATCACGTTTTGTTTGAATTAGAAAAGATTTTTTTATTATTTGAACAACTCATCCGAATAATATTATTAGCAAATTGTATTAGCAGGTATTACTTAAATTATCTAGAAAGATAATTTTATATTTTAAAATAAAATACTAATAGCAATATTAGTAGGCCTATGCATTATTCGTAATAATGGCATTTGATATTGTTTCAACTGCTGAATATTAAAGCTATGGATGATGAGGACTTCTAACGCTTGTGACTCAAGTACCGTTAGCCGTCCTTACGCTAGGCTTAGCGTCTTTTATAATACAATATCTCCCTCTGCTGGACGCTATAAATGTTCATTGAGCTTTCCATCCATCAATCCATCCATCCATCCATCTGTCCATCCAAAAGCTTATGCTTATAAATGGGGTCGCGCGTGGGGGGGGGGGAGTGGGGGTTGAAGTCTGAAGCCCAGGCGGAATAGGTTTTGGTTAACAAATATTTACTCTATTTTTATGTCAAGCAATGAAAGTAATTATGTGAAAATTACATTACTTAAATATAATTCGAATCCACTATCCTCGACAGAAGACTGATGCTGAAAGGTTGTATTATTCATGACTAGTTTCCGTGTATGATAATGAATTTTAAATAATGCCTTTTCCTCGCAACCTTCATCTTCCCCCCAGGGTATCACTGCCAACAAGACGTTTATATAGAAAATGTCAAAGTAATTAGTGCACCCGACGGCGTTGCTTTTACTTTATAGATTTATAAAGCTTTTAAGCTGTTTTGGAGGTTGGGAGTGTGTGTATGTGTGTGTATTGGGGGGGGGTACATATTTCATGTCATTCATTTTCCCCACAAAATTCAAAGTTAATATGAAATATAATAGCATCATACAAAACAACGAGCGTATAGACCTTTGGATTACACGTTCTCGATACGAATTTCATTCTGAATTCACTCATTGTTTCCTAACACAATACGTCAACTCCGTATTTTGTTCTGTAATGGAGAAAGAAATGCACCTTTAAAGTAGCCATAGCGAACGTAAAGGACTATCATATGTCAAGGATAAAAATCATGCAAAAAAAAACTCATTCATATCCGCGACGATGTCAGCCCTATAATGGACCTTATTAATCTTAGTTCTCTTTGCATTAAACAAGCTACACAGCCTTGATCGGCGAGAAAAAAAGCAGGCGAGAGGCAGCGGAGCGAAGGGGTATCGAGCGCAGCCTGCGCTGCGGGGTCTGAACCGGCTGGTCACGCCGAAGGTCAGGGAGCGCGCGGCGTGCGGAGGTCAGGGGGCGCGCGGCGTGTTAATTATAGTGCGCCCCCACTCGCCGGGGCACCGACAGCCCGCTGAAGGGACAAGAATTTCAAAAGAGCGACGACGGCTGTCATTTCGTTCATCGAAAAGCAGGAGCATTCGCAAGCAATTTGCTTCTTAAATAAAAACGGGTCCTTGAAATCGAAAATAGCCCAATAGACACACTCAGTGGGTATAAAATACTGAATGGTTCATTTCTTGTTCTTTAGTTGAATGATAATTTCTTTCTTAGCGTGCTTTGTTTTTGCAATATTAGTCTTCACTAGGTTTTGCCGTTATAATGGACACTGATTAAGTAAGCAGTGTATACTATGTAGGCTATGCAAATAAAATCTCTATCTGGATAAACACGATAGTGCATAATTAGAGCGTTTATCATGGAGCGGTCAGATGCATCGTTATTAGTGCAGGGCGTTGGGAGTGAAGGACGAATAGCGGTTTTAAGGCTAATTTGAGGGACACTCACGTCGTCATCCCTCTTCACGCTGCGCTCAGATGTGACTCAGCGAGCTCCTCTCCAGACCCTGCACTTCTATTGCCTTTCTGATTTCTATAATCACCTTTTCGTATGCAGCTCGCGAAGTGACGAGATAAGACTTTGTAAGAGCATCAAGCCGGGTCCGGGCTTTTCTGGAAAGGACGTAGCCTAATTAGGGATCTTAAAAACTCGACCTGTCTTCGCACATACAAACCTCTATATGTGGGCCCAGACATGCTTTAGAAAGATCTCATTTGAAAGCAAGCCTAAAACAACACAACGTGTGATGTTGATAACCCATAATGAAATCCACGACGCGACTTCGGATGTTTAAGTGTGACACTTGCATGCTACGGTGCTTTTTAAATTTCGTGGACGTTTGGATCCCTCCTGGTCCACCGGGTTTCGGTTATCCGGCCCACTGGGGCAGATCGCCAACCGAAGGCATCGCTGCTGTCAATCACCCGTTTCTATGGTGATGAATCGGGGATGGAGCTGACGTCTCTCTTACAGTCTTACACGCGCTAATTTCCCGGAAGAATATTTATTGTTGATCGCTACAATGTAACCTGTAATTGGCGATCAAAGCAACTCTTCATTTCAGACACCTACATCCTACAATATTACAATAATTCTCAAACTTACGCTAGAAATTCTTAAAATAACATTAGAAAGCGAATTGAATTATACTGCCGATGAGCGCTGATAAATATGCTTTATCATATATATTTCGTGTTAGATCACACCACCCTTGTCATTCTCCAGTTTTATTGTAGCCATATTATAAATTATAGGCCAACCCCCTCCTTTTCAGGCCTTGGGCAACGTGCCGTAAAATGAGGCGCAGTGACTGGGCGTCTGCATGGGTCACTATGTCTAACCTGCAGTCTGCAACAAAATGAAGACGTCTCATCCATGAAAGAATTATTCCGGCGAGCCCCTTGTTTAACTAAAATACCGGCTATTTTAAGAACACGTGAAGCAGACGGAAAATAATAAAGAAGCACTAAGATTTTACAACCGAGACTTTATCTTTGTTGTCTAATTTGTGTGGCTATTAAACATACACGACTATTAAATATTTACAGGGGCAGGGGAAGGTGGCAGACTGTATTGTAAATGACACGAGCGAAGCCAGGGGGCACGCAGTCCTTCTCGCCCACCCCCGCTTTAATTACCCGACACAATGGCGGCGCAATCTGCCGGTAATCTCGCCGTATAATCACCGTTCTTTATTCCCTCCTCCGCCGCTAATTCAATATAAATGTAAATCGCTAGGCGAAAGGAATAAAGAAATCTCATTTTTATTTACATGATTAATCACAATAATTGTGAACGGAATATTGAAGGAGGGAGCATGAAAAGAAAGAAAGGGCTTTTTAAGAGCGAGTCTGGACGCCTCCGGACCGCGAATTCATTAAGGATTCAGCATCTTTAGCATCAAAGACCCTCCCTGCAGCCCCCCGGGACCCCAAATCAAGGGCGACCAAGGTAGAAAATTATTTATAGAACTGAATACAATATGGTGGAACAGCTGGCTGGCGAACAACGAAACGTTGAGCGTTTTGAATATATTGATTGTTTTTTAATGTTTCGTTTCAGAGGGGAAATAAATACCATGTGACGCTTGACTTTGGCGTTGTGCTGCACCAACCATCTGCCTCTGTCCTGTTTTAACTGTGTATAACTGGACCTGTTTTCGACTCATTAAATAATTTCCACTGACTTTAAGCAGATGACCTACATCATAATATGAATAATGCACCTTTATGGCTTGCAAAATGGAACGTAGTCGGAGGATTTTAAAACTCGTGATTGCTTTCAATGTTTAAAAGGGTTAAGGATGAGGCTAAAAAGCCAGTGGTTTATGCATGGAAAGTCAATGTCTGTGCTCGAAGAATTATACAGTGAATTTTGGCCTGTCAATGTGCAGCGGGTGCAGCGGATGCAGCGCTTCTGGAGGATACAGGGCGCGACAGCCTGGGTCTGGCCGCGTCCTAGCCGATGTTCCCCAGGAAGAGGAGGAGGAAGAAGATAACAAGCCGCAAACCCCACAGCAGATTGGAGGTAAGAATCTATAAACAGCTTCTCCTCTGCATAGAAAACCGGGAGGCGGGGTTGTTTGTGCGTTAGTAAGGATATCGCCCCCTAGTGGGCCATCCCAGTGCCAAGTGCCATGTTAGGGACTTTGATCGGTCAGCAACATAATTCTTATCCTTTCAGCACAAACAGGTAGGGAGTTGGCTTTGTTGAACCCCCGGTGTGGTACGAGGAGTATAATCGCTTTTTGTGATTTTCTTGTAGCATGGTTATATGATGCACACAGCATAGTGATTAAAACTATTGACAAGGATTGACAAGGACAGGATTGAGCTGCTTTGTAGAAACAACTGAAACAATTTCTGTCGGTGGCTCACACTGTTTGTCTTCACGCTGGATTTTAGTCCAGCTGGGTTCTTTATTAATTAAGCTGATTGAGCTGTTGATTAAAGTAACAGCACAATCAGAATTATGTTGAGCTTAATGTGTGAACTGAATATTTTTAATTTGTGGCTTTAAATGTTTTTAAGAACAAACGCAGTGCTAAAAAGAATTAGTTATTGGCCCTTAAAATGAATTATGGTCATGGTCAATGATCATTCAGTTAATGATTATCTCAACAATCTCAACAAGATAATGTTAATTAATTACAACGTATACTCATATGTGCTAAAGTTTACAAATGATGAAATAACTGGAACATGTTTAATTTGGTTCAGGCCAATTAAGAAATATTACAAGTTCCCATTTAATCTATTTTGTAATCTGATTTGAATTGTGCACTAAATTCAATTAATATCTTGATCAAGCTTAACTAATTGAGAGCTCAGCAAGACTAAAATCAGCATAAGGGAAGCAATGCACTATATTAATAGACAGTTATTTACAATAAAATATGTATTATTTTAATTTAATTTGAATTGGCTGAGTTTTGACAGTACGCCTATATGTGGAAGTACGGTGTCATTGTCTTGTGTACAGAAGAGAATAAGAGAAGAGATCTTTAGAGAGACTGAGAAGGGAAGCGGCTTTGGCTGGCAGAGCCTGCGGTAACACGCTGTGTAAATTCTTCGTTTTGGCTGCTGCGTTGTGTTGACCTCCCACCAGGACTCCACGTCACCAAGTAGAGGAAGCTGAGAAACTAGAGAGGTCAGTGACAAGAACTGGTCTGGACTGGCTCACTGGCCTGGAACAGACCTTCAATAATGGATGCTCAGGCTGAGTGAGGGGTTTCACATAACAGTTGTTCAGAGCCATTTGCCCAACATGCAATTCATCTGCTTTCTTTCAGGCCTTCTTAGCCGCTCCGTAAATCTTTTATGTGCCAACTGAGCTAGAACGGTTTCAGTCAAAGCCCCGTTTTTAGTCAAACGTCCCTGAATGAAAATATGAAAATGCCCTGGAGAGATAAATCAGTAAGATAAAGGTTAAATAGGTAAAACTGGACGATGCAGGGTGTGAATAAATGGTGGTGTGGGTTTTTCTACTTGCGTGATCATTCCCACAGAAGGTCTCAAAATGGATCGTTCCACAGCAAGTGGTGGCCTTTCTGAGCTTAATACAGCCCAGGTCCTCAGTACTTCCGAAGTACACAAAGTGGAACTTGAATGACCCACGTAATACAGTGACTAGAGGACAGTGAATAGTAAACCAGTGACTTTTTTCCTCTGACGAGTTTCCCCCTGTAGTCCAAAAACACACTGGTGAATCTCTACATCGCTCTTAGTCTGTGATAACATGTATGATTCTGTGTCCTGCAATCTTGTCTAAAGTGTCATCTGACTTGTCTAAAGTGTCACCCCATGCTTCCTGCCTATATTTACAAAAGTACTGGGACACCTGACTATTACATCCACAGGAACTTTTATGACCCCCCATCCTAAATCCACAGGCATCAATATGGAGTTGCCCCCCCCCTCCCTTTGCAGCTATAACAGCTGCCACTCTTCTTGTCCATTGATCCAGAAGAGCATTTGTGAGGTCAGGCACTGATGCTGGATGTAAAGACCTGGCCTGCAATCTTAATTCTAGCTCATCACAAAGGTGTTTTATGGGGTTGAGGTCAGGACTCTGTGTGGGCCAGTCGCTCCACAGAACACGTTTCCACTGCTCCAGAGTCCAGTGGCAGTGTGGTGACTTTCATGCACTATGCCCCTTAGCTCTCGGCAATCCCGCACTGTTACTTAATGTGCTCTGTCACTTTGTGGCTGAGTCTCTATTGTTCCTAAACACTTACACTGCAATAACACCACTTACAGTTGACCGTGGAATATCTGACTTATTGCAAAGGTGGCATCCTATGACAGAACCATGTTTGAATTCACTGAGCTCTTCAGAATGACCCATTCTCTCACAAATGTTTGTAAACCTGACTGCATGGCTAGGTGCTTGATTTTGTACACCTGTGGCAATGGGTCTGAATGAAACACCTGCATTCAATGATTAAGAGATGTATCCCAATACTTTTGTCCATATAATGTACCAGGCTACAACTCTGCATGCAAGATGGATACATTTTTTTAAACATCTCAAAATACTGACAGTTGCACAGTTGCACGCACCCATAATGCACCTGTTCTTTCCTGTTTATGTGTGCTCTTACAGAAGATCAAAAGATCGCAAAGGGACGATCGATGGAAACTAAAACTACAATCGTGGCACAGGGAGTGTTTTTATGAGATTTACGTGTACATTAAGTGGGAGCACAGCCTGTGAGATAGCTGCGCTTCAGCTTAACTGGGCTCTCTGTCAGCAACGTGCCCAGGATCGATTCGAGCAACACAGGAATGGAATAAACTGTGAATGAAACGTTGGCAGCTGAACTCCGAAAGGGCTGTAGGAATGACCATCGTCACTTTCATTCTTCTCTCTGTCTCTGTATCAGTGGTCCTCAAACATCTAAACAGGCGTGTGGGAGCCGGTGAGGATGTGTACCCCCCCACCCCACCCAAAAAAAAAAAACATTGCTCACGTCCCACAACCCCTTTCTCCCCCAAACCAGCAATGTAACAGCAGACTTTGTATTTCAGGGATACTCAGCTATGTGTGTGGGGGGGGGGGCGGTTTCCCTATGGTAAAACTTTGCTGAGTGGTGGGGGGGGGGGGAGTGTCAGATGAAAAAGATGAAAAACACTTTTTTTATTTGGTGACCCCCGAGCTCCATGTCCTTCACTGCTGCTTGGGCGCCCCCTTCTGATCCTGACTGGAATTCTGTCAGTGACGTCCACTCCCATCCGCTCTCATGCCACATTCCTGCTGACTCCCAGCCTTCAGTGACTGGAAAGGCAGGATCCCATTTGCTTTCACTCCTAGTTTAATTTCCCCCACACCGGCCCCCCTCCCCACCTCAGCCACTGTTTGGATTTCTCCATAATCTAATTCCAGATGCTTTAATCAGTATTTAACACTATAACTTTCTACAAAGGGTATTATTCACACACTGCCTGATAAATGGAAATATTACAAATCTGTATCGGTTTTGGCTACGCAGTTCTGTTTGCAGTCTCAGTGAGGAGACACCACAAAGATGGATTCGCTTCATGAACTCTTAATAATCACTATCATTAATCACTACTGCGAATCAATGGTAATTATCAATAAATACAAGCTCATACCGTGCTCTAACTGTCATAGATCACCAAGGGATTCCTTATGTGAATGTCAGTGAATGTCAAGCAGGGTATGACACACCTTGTTCATGTGTGACCAGAACAAAATCCACTTGGGGTTTGGGATGTGAGAGTGTCACGTTCCTATCGGGCCGGTCTCCACTGGGACACAGCTGTCCAACAGATGTGAACCTGTCATAGACCATGAAAGATTTTACAGCTCTTTTATACTTAATGTAATATTATTATTATTATCGTTTTTATTTGTCAAGCACTTAACATTTGAAACGAATCTCAAAATGCTAGAAATTAAAAACATTATAGTAAACCACACTTAATGTATATTTAATGTAGGGGGGCACGCTGGCTCATTGGGGGGCACTGTAGCCTCTCGCCTCCCGGGTCGAGGTCTAAATCCTATTTCTGCTCTGGGGGTGTGGAGTTTGCGCGCCCCCCCCTTGTGCAGGTTTCCTCCTGGAGTCCAAACACATGCAGTCAGGCTAATTTCCATCACTAATTTATATATATATATATATATATATATATGCATGCATGCATGTTGATTTAGGTTGAGCAATCTTCCAACTACTAATCCTGCTCAGGATTGGGGGGGGGTATTGCAGGCAGCAATTGGCGTAATTCTGGGCAATGGACAGGCTGCCAGTTATTTAGGCTCATTTATATTTATGTATGTTTAGTTTTCACAAGGGTCTGGTGGCTGAGTTTAAAGTGTCACTGCCACCAATGGATTTATCTCCTATCAAGAACATGCGGGAACAGGGTCTCACCACAGGGGGCGCCAGAGTAGTTTCCTCTTTCTCCTAAGGGAAAAATGTCAAAGGAGATTCCTGAGACTGCACTTCTACTTGTAATAACAGTAGCATTGATTTGATTACACCAGCTTAACTAGACTACACTAGCACAAATCTGAGCCTAGTACTGGCGTTTAAGCACTAACAAAAACTTAGTTTTACTTGTTTAAAAAAAACGTCAAAAGTACGAAAGTTGCACGATTTGCCGAGGTTACACAGGGCTGGGGGCTGAAGGGGCCGCGTGTGTTTCTGTGAGACTAAATTGTTTTGGATGTGCTTGCTGGTGTGTGGATTCAGTCATCAGCTCCTGCTTATTTAAACTAGATTAGAGGGCTGAAGCCAGTCAAGGGGGAGAAGGGGGAGGGGGGCGCTTTGTCACACAATGTATAATGGGTCGGTGACCACAATCCCGGCTTCACAAATGCCAATTAAGTGAAAGTAATCTCGGAGGTGCTAATGTCCCTGCCCACCCACGAGAATGAACAAGACGCCCGTAATGACTTGTCTTTCCCTCTTAGAGGTGTCCCAAAGTGCATTACTGGATGTCCACTTCACTCAAATACCCACAGCTACCCTCACAAAGTGGACTGTGAGCTCATCCTACACA